ACTTTAGCTACTTTCCATTGAAAATAGTTGGCAACACTGATCATAACAGAAGGAGAACGAGAGACAACCAAAAATGGGACTACTCTATATCCACCTAGGAAGCGCTTGACGTCTCCTGTGTGGGAGTATTTTGGATACCCAAAAGATGCTAAAGGAGAAATCCAGGACGATGGGTCACCAATTTGCAGAGCTTGCAGAAAAAAAAGTTGCGGCCAAAGGATCCAACACCTCCAAGTTGTTGCAGCATCTCCGAGATCATCATGCGGACATATACGTGCAATTGAAGATATGCTAATACAAAACAACCGAGTCAAATTACGTTAGTGACTAAAGTGATTTCAAAGTAATAGAACCATCCGGTGAATGAGGGTTAATTTAGCCGTATATTGTTGTAGGCTACTGATTGAGGTTCGCTTCCTATTTGTCTATAACAAGCGTTATGCTTCCTTCTCTGGCAGTCTCATAAAAATAAATTTCAAACGCAGCCTGTTTGCATAGGTCCTTGTCCTCGGTAGTCAATAGCGCAGTGGTTATGAAAGAAAAAAAGTTTCACGAAATGTAGCGTCTCATTTTAATAAGGTGAAATTTTACTTGTCCTTCCCTGCAGTTAGTGTACAGACAGTGACCCACTGGTTTGGTGGAGTGCACATGCAGAGGAGCTCCCAGTGCTGTCAGCAGTAGCAAAAAAGTACTTGTGCATTCCAGCTACTAGTGTCCCCTCTGAGAGAGCAATAGTGGCAATATTCTCTCACCTCATCATTCAAGGCTGAGCTCAGAAAATGTGAACATGCTCACTTTTTTGCACTTCAACTTGAACTGATGTTGTGAACTGTTAAAGCTCTTATGTAGAAAGGTTTTACATTATTTTCTTGTTTTTCTTTTATTGTCACTGCATTTAAGTTAAGTATTTTAGCAGCAACAAATGAGCTGTGCTACCTATAGATGTGTACAGAAAAATGTAATTTTATTTATACATTTTATTTTTCTAACTATGCAGAATTTTTAACTGCATTTTTAAGTTAAACAGTGCAATTTATGTTCAAGTCATCAGGTTGGTCTGAGTTAATTTCTCTTGCTAAAAAGACATACAAACTGAAAATATAAAAAATGTGTGGTTCATCAAAGGAGCGGGATGTATTTACAGAGCAAGTTTACTTGAATTTAGATTTTCTGTTCCATGAGTGTGTTAAAATACAGCTTTAAATATCATCTGTTTGCCCAGAGATTACTTGATTTTTTTTTTTACTTTAACTTTTTTGACTGTGGTGTATTCAAAAGGCAGCAATAACCTTTTTCTGTGCAGCTTACAGATTTTTTCAGTCTTACAGTTGGTTACAGAGATTACTTTTATTTTACAAATTAATTTTTCTAACTATGCAGTATCTCTGAAAAGCAGCAATAAATAATAAATAGCTTCTGAAGTTCAAAACCTTTATAGAATGTGTTTGTGTGATTTATATATGTTAATACAGTTGTGAAGTCAAGTCACGTAAAATAACCATGATAATTGTGAAACCATGATTATTTCTCAAACTATAATTGTATCACCAAAATTTCTAATTGTTGCAACCCTAGGTGACACTTCACTCTTTTATTCTGAATAACATGGTATATTTATAACAATGATACAGTATGCTGTGTATGTTAACATATTTATGTGTAATAAATATTGAAATATTAAGCTGTACTGTTAAAAGCTGCACCTACACTATGTATATGAATTTGATTTAGTTCAATTGCACTTTAATTCCACCACCTTAAATACAATTTTGAATTGCAATTCTGCACCCTATTTTCAACCACAATTCAAATTGAGTTCAAATTCACAAATTGAATTAGAGTTTCAGGGCCATTATCAATTCAGTTCTGAATGGTGCACTACCCTGGCTCACATGTTTACCTTTGCTCCAGTGCCAGGTCAGTTTCTTTCACCTAACAGTTTGAACCGCTCTTTGTGCCCCTGCAGTGAAGCACTGCACTTCTTCCTGCAAGCTCATCTCGCACTGGGACAACTGCACACAGCATGATTGTCCTGTTTGCATGCCGCATGAGGACTTCAGCAACCAAAGGAGCGACATCGTGAGTCATTCTCACCCGTGAGCCACCCCTGTGGTCAGCTAGGGCCCAGGCTGGCCTGCTGTCTTCCTTGGTGCATATATTAATGATAACGGTGTACATCGGGGTGGGGGGTGGGAAGTGTGGGTGAAGCTTGTTGGGGGAGGGGGGTGATACCATTCGTGGCACTGGAGCCCCCTCAAAAGATGCTGGCCTGGGCAATTGCCCATCTTGCCCTTGCTAGGATCCACCCATGCCATGGACCAGTGCCATGTGCTGTCGGTAGGTTACTCACCACGGCTGACTATGAGCACCACACAAGCCTTGCTGTATGGGAGATGCTCTGACCCAGGTATCTGGCTGTAATGATTTGACCCTTGTCAAAGTCACTCAGGTCTTTACCCTTGCCCATGTCTGCTGCACTCATGTAATATATCTCAGACCTTGATATGCACCATTTTTAGGCATGAACTGTGCCTGAGACGCAAATCTCACTCAGGCAGTTTGGATGTTAACATGGGCGCCGAAATGAAAATCAAAATGTTCCACATCAGTGACGTACACAACCTGCAGCTGGTGTGTCTGGGCCTTGAGCCTAGCATGGATACTGGCTTGCTTGCTGTGCTTCTCCTTCCTAGCGCACTGCCTTTGATGAGCTTCTGGCTGGTCGCCTTTCCCAGGCGATATCGAGGTCTTGCGGTGTAGGACTGAAGAATGCCAAAGCAGTGAAGTTGCTCCAGTGTGTTGATATGTGGGTGTTTGGCATTGATTTTCAATTTAATTGAATAAATTCTGTTAGTTGCAGACATATTTACAAGTTGTTATGTAAAACATAAAAATGTAAAATGATGTGATATATATTCCAATTGTACAAATATTGCACCACATTTAGGACCTGTTGTGGCCACTGTGGCCTACCACGCCACCATCTTCTGGATGGGGTAGAGGAAGAACCCTTATTATGATTCCAGCATACAGGAACATGTCAATACATTCTACATGTTTGTACAATGTTACATGGTATGGAAGCCAGTCATACAATACTGTAATGCCGACAAAGGTTGATTAAACAACAGAAATGTTTATTGGTGATAAGCAGCTGGGATACTCTGCAAATATACACTCTGGTGCATGAGTCGTCCATAACCCCAAAGCCAAAACCAACCAACCCCGCTTTGTGTCCGGGTCTTAGGCTGTGTTCAAAATATCCACTTATCCACTGTATTGTGAGTCAGCCATTTTGGAGTGCTGTTCAAATTCTCAGCTACAAATCGTCCACTATGGAGTGCACTACCAAAATGTAGCTGTACCCTATATCGGTCGACTTAGATCATCATGCATTGCGGCCTGTAACATAAGTGTCAGAACCTTGAATGCATTCAGATGGGGACTCAATTGAAAGGGCTTTGAGTGGCGATTCAGAAATGAGCTGACCCTGTGCTGTGACTCCCAAGCTTGCTCTCACCTGCATATGTGTCTTTGTGTTTGATGGAGAGTAAGATGGGGGAGGCAAAGAGAAGCATTTCAATTAGGGCTGGGCGATATCAAATCGCGATTAAATCGCGCATGCGCAATAATCACTGGGGCTTCAGATGACAGGCGCAACATTTGGCGGTGCGCCAGCTTTTCTGTGCTATACGGACATTTATTTACGAGTGGAGCGGTGAGAATTTCCGCTCCTTGTTCACGAGGCTGTTGGCTCCGCCCGCTCCTTCGCTCTAATTCGCAGTAAGCCGCTCAGCTCAACACCGCTCCTCGCTCCACTAAAAATTCCTCCCGCTGCAGTCAAATCGCTCCAATTTAAAAGAGGGACAAATAATCTGCATGCCTAACAAATGTCACCTTAAACCGAAGCCTTATATCATAAAGAAATATGAGCAACGGCAACATTGCCACTTTAGCGTGTTTCGTTCTGCGTTGTGTAGTTTTTGTTTATATATATATATATAGTTGTGCTTCAATGACGAAACCACACCAGGATGTAGTCAACACGTATACTTCTGCACAGAAAACAATTAACACAAAGGTCTTTTTTTTCTCCTCCTTTCTGCACCTCTCACCATCATGGCATGTTTCAAAAAGAGAAGCGCGCGCGCGCGCGAAAAGTGAGTGCGCGCATAAAACAATATTACATACCTGCACAGAAAACAATTAACACAAAGGTCTTTTTTTTCCTCCTCCTTTCTGCACCTATGTAACAAGATATCTCATATTAGGGAAAACTCAAACACCCGGTCAACCATAAGAAATGTCACACATACACAGTTAATTAACTTATATCACGCGCAGATTACACATACCTCTCACCGTCATGGCATGTTTCAAAAAGAGAGCGAAACAGGAATTCCACTCCACTAAACCAAGGGCGCGGATTATTCCATAACAGACGGGGGAGAGATTTTTAGAAAAACCTCAAAAATAATTACAACTCACATTAAACATTAAGTGACAAAAAGAACACAGACATCTTCTACTTTACCAAAATAACAACAAAACATGTTCTTATGAAAAAAAACAAACAAATAAATATACAATCAAAATTCACACACACCCCCCCCACCTGTACTCCCCGATAATCCGCTCTACATGCCAGGTAAGTGTGACGTGATCCATCAGGACAGAAGTCCCGTAATAAATCATAGAAAATAATAATAAAATAAAAGTCCCAAAATTATATTTTAAACAGTCTTAAAAACAAATCTAGTGTATCCAAAACACTCTGGTACATCCTCCCCCACTGGATTACACTAGATTATAAAATTCCAAAACAAGACACTCCTAAAAAAAAAAAACTGCAGTTTGGTCAATCACAGAAATGTAGCCTTTCAATTGAAACCAATAAAGATTCCCCAGCTATGATGCTATCCCATGAAGGATTAAGACAAACCAAGGGTAGCTAGTCCTTAATTTGACTACAGGTAACCGTGCCCAGTACACAGTTATGCCCAAGACCACATATTCACTGCACACCGTATACTAAGTGCAATCATCAAACCAAACTTCACACAACAAAGTATCCAGTTAACTAAAATGACAAATGTGTTGCGTCCCATAAATTCAACTGAATACTTAAAAAAAACTAATGTACGTTGAGCGAGGTCTTAAGACCCCGCGAAGACATTACTTGAATCAGTCTATTCACAGGTCTAACAATTCTGCCTAACCTCGTAGTCAATCCACCTCCTGCGGATACAGATGAACACGTGGGCACAACAACTTCAGGAGACAGCTTCTCAGATAACTGAGAACCTTTTGATGGCACAACAGTAACAGCCACACAGCTATCGCTAACAGCATCAGGGTGCCCAACACTAATGTTACAGAAAGGCTGACAAGTATCTGAAAGTTGCAATCAGCATCATCTTGTTCCTCCTCTAACAAATCTGCACCACTGTTTTTCTGCAATGATATCTCGCCCTGATCATGCGATACGTCAGCAGATCCATCTAGGTCAGAGACCCACCTCACAGTTCTGTCAACACTTTCACACACATCAGCCTCAGAGGAAATGTCATGAATTGAACTAAAATCATAAAAGTCCTCAGAAGTCTCACAATCTCCCCAAGACGGTATAGGTAAAAAGTTAACAGGCATCAACAGATTCCGATGCACAATTCTAGATCAATCCGTGCTGGGATTGCGAATCCGGTAAGTATTCAAGGAGTCATTTTTGCTTAGTACCACATATACAGTACTCTCCCACCGATCAGCCAGCTTTCTCTTACCCCTTTCTCCCTTATTTGCCAGAAGAACCCTGTCTCCTAACTCCAAGGAATGACCTTTACACCCCTGATTATACTTATCGGCCTGCTTGGTTCGCTGCTTCGTAGCATGCTCTTGCGCCAGTGACAGAGCTTCCTTCAGATCTCTCCCAAGAGACTGGACATATTTATCCACATCCACTGTCACATCATCTAAAAGTACACTTCCAAACATGACATCAATAGGTAATCTTGGTTTGCGACCGAACATCAAAAAAAAGGGTGCATAACCAGTTGTCTCATGAGCTGTGCAATTATAGACAAATGTCAGTGTGTTAATCAATTGTGGCCACTTCACCTTGGACTTTGGCTCAAGTGCACAAATCATATTACCCAGGGTGCGATTAAACCGTTCTGCTTGCCCATTTCCCATCGGGTGGTACGGTGTGGTGTGCGACTTGCTAACCCCAGCCAGCTGTAGCAATTCTGCAATCAATGAACTCTCAAAGTTTGCACCTTGATCAGAGTGTATGCGATTTGGAAACCCATATATACAAAAGAAATTATTCCACAGTACACGCGCAACTGTTTTTGCGGACTGATTCGGACAGGGGAATGCACAAGCTAATTTGGTGAAATGATCGGTGACTACCAGAACATCAACGGAATTATTGTGTCCATCCTCTGCCGACCAAAAATCTATACACACTAACTCTAAAGGTGCGGTGGTCACAACAGAAACAAGCGGTGCCCTAGCGTCGGGTTCTGGAGCCTTACCCAAAATGCATCGCTTGCAGTGTGTGACATACTCACGTACATCCTTCTCCATAGAACTCCAATAAAACCTCTGCCTGCACAGCCACAGCGTGCGCTGTTGCCCCTGGTGTCCAGCCTCATCGTGTACTCCCTTCAAGACAGAATTTTTCAGTGATAGCGGGACTACATATTGAAATTTTTTTTTCTTAGTCTGTGGATGTTTAGAAACTCGATACAGTATGCCCAGTTTCACATCAAACCTATCCCACTGCCTCAAACTTCTTAAAACTTCCATAGACTCATGAGCTCTTTCCCGTCTAGACGGACGTCTTTTTCGACTAACAAAGTAATGGACTCTAGTAATGACAGAATCCTGACTCTGCTTTTCCAGTAACTCCTCATGGGAGAAGACAGGAAGCGGATTACAGCCCGCAGCTACAAGGTTGTGCAGATGTTGTACGTGCGAAACTGCTCTCGTTAAAGCGCCCTCCTCCCACTGACAATGCGACTTTAACACGGCTTGCACATCTTCCCGTGGCATCTTCCCCAGAGAACTAGCCTGATCCA